TATTGCTTCTGCGCTGTTGTTTCGTGCGTCGTAATCGCACCTGCAGCCGAGACTTTTCGTGCGCGCCACAATAACGCCTGTGTACTAGTAGTAGTAGTAGTAGTTGTAGTTGAGCGCTTTCAGCGGAGCTGCAGCTCGCGCGCATAAAGAGCGCAAAACGCCACGCGTAAGCGGAAAAATATTTTTCCGAGAAAATCGTTACTATATAAGGGCGTGAGAAAGACAATTAATGCGTTTCGATGCGAGGCTCGCGATATGTGCCTGAGCCGTCCTGACTTTGGCCGTTCGTCTGCGATGCATCATGTGAGAAACGAAAGAAACGAAGAAAAAAAAAGTAGACTATATCGCGCCCGCGCCTCCTGCGCTACTGCTCGCTCGCCTTGTAAGTCTGTAAAAACACACACATGCACGCACGCACACACAACAAATGCATTAGTACAGTAAGATAAAATACAGCTGGGCTTTTTTGCATTCGAGTCGCACGCCTCATCATGGATCTACATGTCTCTACTACGTGTGTAATATATAATATACGCACATACACACGCATACGCGGCACATAATAGCAAGGTGACTAATGAATTCTGATGTTCATAATATGCTTCCGGCAAGTCTCTGCCTCTCTCGTACATTATACGCCTCGTGTGTATTTAGTCGTCTCTTTTCTTTTTTTCCCGTCGAGCTATAATACACTAACTGCGGGCGAATCGGCCGATGCGTCATGTGCGCCGCACTCGACAATTAGCACTCGTATACATTATAATAGCTTTTTAGATGTATGCACGCACAGATCGAGAAACGCCGAATTTCACATTTTATCTCGCTAATTACGTGCACGTGTCTCCGAGTAATATCGGTGTCGGTCGCGAGACGAGGGACCGATCTCGAAAATATATGCCTATGATCGACGTCGTTTTTTTTTTCTTCCGTTTTTACGTTCCAGCTTTACGATCTCGCGGTCGGAGATTAGTGGCGCGATTCTGTAAACTCGTTAACGCTTTCGACTCGAGGCGAAGATTAAGCAGCTAACGCTCGAGCTGATTATTGTATTTGATCGAATGTTATCCGAGCCGCTATTTTTCTTCTCCTTCTTCATTTTCTATTACGCGTTTGAGCTTTTTATTCGTCGTGCGAGCTCTCGATTAAAATTAGCCCGGGCTCGTTTGTGTGCGCGCCATCGCGAATGGAGGAGGCCAAAAATAATAATTGCGCTCGGCTTTCTCGATCGGTCTCGCTCGGCCGCTGCTACTCGCGAGATTCGGCAACTCGAGACTCGCTTTATTACAGCCGAACGCTTAGTCACTCGTCGTGTAGCGCGAGCGGCGTAACTTTTTTTCTCCTATTATGCGATCGGCAAAAAAATCCCTCACATCTGTATTAGCCACATATATATGCGGACAAAAACGCCTAGTCAGTGTATCGTCATAGTCGAGACAAAGCCTCAGCGCAGCGGCAGCACATCTTGAGGTTTTTTACTCGACCATACATAAAAGACCATTGAACAAATCCTTCCGAGCGATGCGTTAATAAACTTGCTAAAGACGAAATTAGCGACGTCGAGCCGCACACGTAGCGACGCCTATACTAGCTATGCATTGAAAGCCACTAGAGCCGATCGTATAATTATCCGTTTTAAGTACAAGCTGCAACGAGCTTTTATAATACAATGACGCCAAGCTATAGTATATATGTATATGCGACAAGACGCGCATATACTCGACTCGCGTATTACGATCGCAGGCGCTGCACGAGAGAGAGAGACCCGACAATGAACATATGTTACGAGTTGCTGCGGGAAAATTGAAAAAAAAAATACCAAGACAGAAGAAAGAAGACAGACGCGTAATAATATCTATTTGCCGCGACGAAAGTAGCCGTTGCTAACAGTGCGTTTACGTTGTGCTGCGAGCGGCCTGCACACGAGCGACGTTGGCTTTTTCACCGCAACATCCGCTCGTGTGTGTCTGCAAGCGGCAGCTCATCGCGCGAGCTGCAACCCAGCCAATACCTATATACATCGTGTTATACACACAGCCGTCGATTTTCAGACGCTGACTCTGCTCATATTGGAAATATAAACCATCTATATGTTTTAAGATCCGAGGCCAATATTTCCTGTCGATTTCTCTCTCTCTCTCTCGCATACTGACTTGGCCAAATAAACTATACACGCGATTCGCGCACCTATTCTCGTATACGAATTTAAAATAGCTCCTTGAGTCAATCATGGCATTTTATCGGCGAGGCATCGCGGCTATTCGACTCCTTCGATGATTTAATAAAAGTAAATTTTCATTCGAATTCAAATCGCGCGCCTATCCTTAAATTAAATTAAAAAGAAAAAAAAAATTATCATTTGTCCAAGCGTTCGGCGCGCGATTGCGATCTCGGCTTACGCGAGCTCGCGTCGAGGTGCGTATAATGCTCGTGTCAATCAGTGTATAAGCCGTATGTATGCACGGGGTGGGATAAGGTCGTTTATCCTCGGAGCGCATTAAATGCTATATATTTAAATGAAAGAAAAGGAGAAAAACCCAATGGAGTATATGGGGAGTATGGGCGAGTGGGCCGGCATCATCATCGATGCGTCCGAAGGTGTAATAATTTGTCCCGAGCTGCTACACACGTATGCTACGTACGCTACGTACGCCGGAATAATAATCATTCCGATATATAGAACAGTTATATTGGACGTCATAAACACGGGCAATGATGGAAAAAGGAGCGAAAAAATTGCCAGCGCAGCGGCCTTTAACGGTAATGCTTAAAATTGATTTTATATACGAGGAATCTCGTATATACATCTCTCTCTCTCTCTCTCTCTCGCGTTGTGTGTATGATTAACCGTTGCGAGCGTCGAGTAAGAGGACGATTGATCGAGTTGCGCATTAGCGTGCGATCGAGAAAAAAATGAGGAAAAAAAGAAGAAGAAGATGAGCGCATTAAATGTATGTATAGCTCGAGGATGATGGAGCGACGATTCGATTTCGACGCGTGTATAATACAGCAGCATAGTGGACGTGTCACACCCATCGAGGTCGGCTACCTAAACGACCTTTGCACAGAAACGCTTGACAGATAGCCATCGGGACGACTGCGAATATACGAGAGAGAGAGAGCGAGGAAGAAGAAACGCGCGACAAACGTGGGGGGAGGGAGGGGAGGCGAACGAGAATAAAAAGAAGAAGCGAGAACTCGAAGCGAGAAGCAAGCAGCAGGATAAAACGTACGCCTGGCTGGCACAAAGGTGGGTCTCGACCTTAATGGAGTCTTAAATTATGCCGAAAAACGAGATAAAAATAATTCGAGCGCAGAGGAACAATGAGAAAGAGGAGGAAAGAGACGAATTAAGAGGACGACACACGTATAGCCGAGAGAACGAGAGAGGTCCCTTTAACAGCTGACGTATGTACGCGCGTCTTTTTCACTCTCGGCCTGTAATTGCTACCATTCGCAAAACCCCTATACACATAAACATATTCACTAACGGATTTTTATAAAGGTATCATTATTGCCATGTCGATGTGTCGCGCATCGAGCTCGTCGTCGTCGTCGTACGGGGCCCCCAATCTCGGTATGCCGCGACGAGTGACCCTTTTTTCTCTCATGATGATCGCCTTTGCGCCGAGTACAGTACGAGCCATTTATTTTTTCGCCTTAAAACCATACGGTTGGGCACGAAAATTCAATTGGCATAGCGTCTCGTCGTCACGGGGGCAGCAGCGGCAGCAGCGGCAGCAGCAGCATCAACAGCCCACGGCCTTCATTATTTTTCGTTCGGGGCCCATGGCAGTCGTACCGATGTAATAACGCCGCGACCGAAGCCCATAAAATTGGCATCGCATCGCGTTACACGCGTGATTAATATTAAAAAACATGACACGAGCGAAGAAAAAAACAACAACAACTCGACTCGTGTATACGAGGCAAGAATGGAATTAATATATTATGAATAAAACAGTCAGCCTCGTGAGTTTGAAATCCTCGGAGTTGATAAAAGCTGACCAAAACGAAGAAGGAAATGCTGGCAGCGCGCATAAATCGCGTCGCTCGACGTATGCTTATTACAATGCCAGAAGAAACACATCATAATATAGCGAGGAGGCTTTTGGTCGACTGCGGAGGAGACGAGGCGCCGTTTCGACGAGTCGGCAGCGGATTGGATTCATTAGCCGCGAGGGCACACAAATTGCTGCTACGATGCACGTGACAAATTCGGCAAAAGTCATTTGCGAAATACGAGTCGAGGCTTGATGAGCTGCTCCGTAGTACACGCAGCTAAATCTTTTATCACGCACTGCAGTCTTTAATTTCGCGCAGCACAGCAGCAGCAGCAGCAGCAGCAGCAACAGCATCGCGCAAAGGAATTCGGCGTCGGAAGCGCCTTTGGCCAACGCCATGATTGCGCCCGGCTAATATGTAATTTAGCAGCTGCAGCAGCAGCGGCCGAATGTTTTTTCTTCCCCCTCGCGCAGCAGAGCTCGTGCAGCTCATCGTCGTCGTCGTCGTCGTCGGACGAGTTAGACGAAGGAGGCGAAAAAAAAAGCACGAGCGAAATAATAAAAGCCGGCCGCGTGCTGCTGCTGCTGCTGCTGCAATTGGAGCGTGAAATGCAACAAATTCAGACGAGTATATAGGTAGGTAGGTGCGCGCGTGCCCAGCAGTTACCTAATCTCTCTGCGTCTCTCGCGCCTCGCGTATAATTGAAATAATTGATCGGCTCGCGAAAAAAAAAAACAAGCAACGCGAGAAATGCCGACTGCGCTGCGGAATTTTCGACTCGATATTGCTCGAGTATATAATATATCGTGCACCTGAGCAGCGAATTACGCGCGCCTGTAATAACAACAACAACAACAACAACACGCGGGCTGATCGCTGCGAAAGCCATCGACTGTTGGACGATTGCGACACGTCGTCGAGTGGCGATCGGGATCCAATTGCCACACTCCATATTAACTTGGGACAGTACATTGCGCAAAAGTCACCGCGAGACTCACCTCCTTCATGCCGTCGAGTCGTCCGAGGCTCTTGGTGCCGCGCAGAGGCGGGAAGAGCTGATCCTGCCAGGAGCAGGCCCGGGGCTCGCTGACCTCGAGGCCGCGGCATCGGCTCTTGCTCTTGCGCTTGTTGTTGAGCAGCTGCTTGGCGGCACGGGACTTGCGGGCGGACGGTCCGCTGCTGGAGATGGCCCCTCCTGTAGCGGTGGTGGTGGTGGCCTCGTCCTCGGGCTCGCTCTGCACCTCCCAGCGGCTCGACGACTTGAAGCGTCTGCGGGACGCGGTCGGCGAGGTGACGGGCGACGTCAGCCGTTGCACCAGACTCCCGAACATGGTCATCTTTGTGACTCACTTTTATTTTTCCTCGATCTGTGTGTTATTGTTCTTGTGGCACTTTTCTTTTCTTTATCTCTCACGGAGCAAGAGTACTGCTGCACCGAATGATCGACACTCCGACTCGTGGATCTCTATGTACATCACTGAGGACACCGCGTTTGGAAAATTCGCTCACTTTCGCGCCGAAATATACACGAGATACACTTTGGCACTGCACGGTATATAATACTTGTATATAAATGGGTTGAAGCCTCGCGGGTTCAGCACTGCACTTCGGGGCTGAGTCGGCGTCTCGGCAGCCGATTCGAAGCGCAAGCAGCGGGATGATAATCGGTAGTGGACGCCATAGTTCGGCGGGTCCTGTATTATGGTGTCTGGTTTATGGAGGCCCTTGAGCTATCGCACACATACAGCACACCTCGGCCCAAAACACCACGCCTGGCCCCGGCTATTATCGAATTCTCACCTGCTGCGCGCGATTATACACCAGCAGAGAGAAGGTATATATCGCGCCTCGGGCCTGTGCCGCCGCTATGTAGAGCTGCGTATGATTTTTTTTATATATGTATATCGTGCGCATGTGTCGCGCGGCTCGCACACACAAGTGTATGATATACACAAGTACATGTACACAAGGATTGCGGATAACGATAGTTTTGGCTTATGGGCGAGCGCGACTGTATACTTCGGTTACGTGCGCACGGAGCGTCGAGTACGAAGCACACGTGCTCGGCTGCACGACGATTCAACGTATCAGCGGGGCTAACGAATTGGCACACACACACACACGCGATAATCCACGGACACAACACAAACACGAGCACACGAGCAAAAAGATCAAAGATTCACACAGAATTGGAGCAGAGCGCAGTTGACAGTTTTGCGAGATAGGTGTTGATCCAAGTGTTGTATATAAAAAATACGAGTATAGAGAGAGTCGAGGTGCGGACAAGTGCGGTGTACGCGACTACTGCGCTACTGGCGAGCGGCGTGCGGCGGCGTAACTGCCGAGCTGCGATCGCGGCCAACTGCTCCGAACTGCTGCGGCGAAACGGCTCGAGCTGCTGGAGGCAAGCCCGCGTATACACACACACGGACACACGTACTATATACACAGTCACAGGCTCACAGCTCGGAGCGTATAGCAGACTCTGGAGAGGGAGACGACGGCTTCGAATCTGCGACGCGTCGTTCTTCTGTATACCTGTGCGGCTGTATCGTATCGCGCCTGCAACGAGTGGGGCCAGCAGCAGCAGCAGCTATTATAAGCTACCGGACGACACTTTGCCGCGCTAACCTATGCACTCTGTTATAGTCTGTAGTCTGCACACGCGGGTTTCGAACTAGCTACTGAAAATTTATTTGGCCGTTTCGTTGGGATATAATGCACTATGCGAGAGCCAATTAGTCGCGCACAAAGAGCAAATCGGAGGAATCGCTATCGGGAGCTACTTCCGATTCGCGACGTTTCTCCGTTCTGCAATTAACGCACAGCGGCCAATTAACTCTATGCGTCGAACAATCGCTATTGCCAGTGGGGATAAATCGCGGCACAGCCCGACGACTCGTCTCTTGCTACATATCGGCCAAAACGAGGAAAACAGCTCGCACAAAGCCTCTCGCTCTTATACACGCGTATAGTCTTTGCGTCCAGAGTGCAGTGTAATATGTAAAGGTCGGCTGTAATGGGCAGCAGCAGCAGCAGCCAAAGAGCCAAAGTAGAGAGAATCTCGTCGGGCTGCGTGACATTGCACACACACGGCACACACACACATTTACACAGAGTAGCAAAGTCCCGTTCGTCCTTGCCTCTCTTCGGCACATTCTTTTCAAGGAGCTCGCGCGAGCGCGACTCTTCTTCTGCTTCTTCTCCTTCTTACACACTACTTCGGTACTACGTATATATGCTTATTATACTTTAACCCTCGCGTCTCTCTCTCTACTCCTGGCTCGTTCGGCCACTTTATTTCTCTCCGAGATCGCGTACACGGCTACTACGTAAATAGTCGCCACTGCCTTGGCTGCACTCTTCTCTCGTTATACTACTATTGCTGCTGATTTTCGGAGCATTTGCCCGATTCGCCGACGACGCAGTTACGATATATCGACGTAAACAACGAGCTGCAGCGGATACGAAAATATTTACTCGTCTCAACTTTACTGCCTCTCGTCGTGTATATGTCGATGCGATACCAGCCAAAAGTGAAACTCGCGCGCATTTTCGTAACTTCGTCCCGAGACTCGTCGAATGGCGCAGTGCCTTGCCACACGTCTTGACTCGTTATTATGCGTTATACGCGCCACAGCGGCATTTCTAATGCGTGTCCCATCCAACGCGTCTTTCAGCTCGAAAGTTCGGCCGAACGATCTGCAGCTGACACGTGAAATCGACGAACGAACGTTCGTTTGCGGTTTCTTCGCGCCATTCCTGAGATTGCGATGTAAGCCTTTTTTCCTGTACGCATACTAGTTTCTATAATATGCGCGGACGACGAATTTTTACCTCGATTTCAATAGCGCATTAAACAAACGGCGAGGATATTTTTAAACTTTATACGATTCGAACGCCAACCGATATAACGCATTTGCGACTCGCCTACATCCATCGACGATATAACCCACTAAGCCATTTTCTTTTCCTTTGCAATTGTTCCAAGTGCACTAATGAGGCAGAAATTTGAGAAAACTTCCACCCGGAGCCCCATATTTATCTTAGCGAATTAAAATTAAAGCGCTCCGAGTGGAATAATAATCGCTCGAGTCTTATATGGCTAGGCTCACGCGGCTTTGTTTTCCTTTTCTCGAATCGCTATAGGCCAAAAATTTTGCGCCTCGATAGAGCTTCCTTCGTGTATATTTACTTTTCAAAGTAGAGTGTCTGCACGCCGAGCGAAAAATGCGAGCGAAACCAGTCTGCGGATCGCTGCGGTTTCTTTCAAGGACCATCCACTGCAGCAGCGACTAAAATAAAAAAAAAAAAAAAAAACAAGGAAACGAGTGAAGAACTGTCCATTTTCGAGGCAAAAGAGCATCTCGAGGCTCGTTTCTGTGTGCCCGTATAGATATACCTCGAGTTGGAAACGAGGGGCTTATTTGCGCCCCTCGTTGAATTATAAATCCACGTGCGCAGAAGTCAATTTTCATTGCTCGAATGATCGAGAATTTTTACTTCAACGCAGTTCGAGTACAATCGTGTGTGTATCGAATACGAGTCGTTAATCACAATAGTGCACGGATTATAGTATAGGCAGAGTTACCACTTTGCTATGTTGCGATATCAGAAACTACGATAACAAAAATCTCACGCCGCTTTTAGTTCAACTCAAGCCATTTATAATAAATTGTATTCTCTGCCCACAATGCGGGAAAACGAGACGCCACGTAGCGACGAGACCCGAACTAATTTTCTATGTAATTCGGCCAATCGAGTTCATCAAGTGAACACTTTTAATTAGCTTTGCCAATGTCTCTTTAGCTATTTTTTTGCCTTTGGCGTCACTCCGATGATACACATAATGCGCTCAGTCTGTCAATGCAGCCGATTCTTTGTTTATCGGGTGATGTATATACAGAGTCGAACCGATCAGCAGAGTCATTCGGTATCGTATAAACGGACAAAACTACTCGTTTCCGTAGTTTTGCAGTATTACTGTGCACGCGATCCAGCGATTCTTTGTATTTGCACAAGTAAAATCGTTGGGCATGGCGTTGAGTGCACCAAGGCGCAGATAATATCGTGCGTCGCATCGACGTGTCAAGCGTCTCGACGCAATGATCCACACGAGCCAAGTTCATAATATGCGTGTGCGTGCAGTAGCAGCAGCAGCAGCAGCAGCAGCCAATGGATTCTCCTCGCTCGGGCTTTGTCCCGCTTCTCGGCGCCCCAAAGATTCAACGAAGAAAAGTCTCGGAGATGCATTACGAGCCGTGTATATATACAGCTTTCGATACGTATCGCACGCAATACATATAATACAAATGAACACGAAACGAAGAGCGCACAAAAATTGCACATCTCCGATGGATCGTGCAGAGAAATGTTGTACCCGCGCACGTATAGGGTATAATGTCGTTGTTGTCGTTGGTCGCCGCGGTGCGCGACATGGGCGAGGCCGGACGTCACGAGCTAAGGCAGCAGCGACTCGACACGTGTTGCACAGCACGAGCAGCGAAAACATCGCGATGGACACGAGTTTGCACACGGCGTACGTGTGTGGCTCGAGCTTCGATACGCTCTCGGAATAACGAAAAGCTCCCGATGAGTGTCTGTCGATACGCTTATTGTAATGAGTATAGTAGCATATGGAGTCGACGTTAATTCCACGAGACATTTTGAAAGATCCCATAGCCCTTTTTTTTTAATCAACGTTGATCGTCGCAGCAGCAGGTGCAGCTCTTCGTCTCCTCGAACGATCATATCGTAAATTTATCGAAAAATAGGCGCGTCCGATTCGCTTTCTTTCGGCCTCGGAAACGCGCGCGCGCGACTCTGCTTTCTTCCCTCGTCGCGCGGCAGCTTTATGAAAATAACTCGCAGTCCCACGAATATAATGCGGCTCTCTAGCTCTATAGCGATTGTTCGAGTTCGAGCGACTTTCATTATCGCCTTGGCGCGCGCTGCATCAGATATCGCACATTGTTTTCTCTCTCTCTCTCACTCTCTTAGGCACGTGAACTGCACTTTACCCGATCGCCCAATCATTTCCATTTCTATATATGTTAAATCTCTCGGCTGATCGATCAAACTCTCTATTGCACTTGTTTATCCGATCGAGCAGAGGGGGGGAAAAAAAAGTCCCGATAAAACGTTGCGGCTGAATTATTGTCCGACGATTGATTCGTTGAGTAGAGAGAGAGAGAGAGAGAGATTCCTCTGTACTCGAGCATTTTCAAGCTGCAGCCGTGTAACGTGCATTGTGCGCGGCAATAAAGCTCGTATTTATACACGTAGCAACGATATATTATTCGAGTGTTTTTTAGCGATTTTTGTGGCACGTATATGTATAAGCCTAGTGCGCGCTTCGTGCGAAAATATCGTATATCAATGGCCGCATGGCTCTCAGGTATAGAGCCGATTCGAGCTCGTTTCAGGCATAAGCTTGTTTTTCCCCGGCTGATTTAATATATTATATAGTTAGAGACGGCGGCCCCGCGAGCACGCGGACTCGCGGCTAATGGCATTCTGCTATGGGATTTTGCTGCTTTGAACTTTCGAAAACGCATCTGGCACATGCACAGCGAGAGAGAGAGAGAGAGAGAGAGAGAGACTAGCAAAAGTAGCGACTGCAGTTGCGTATGTACCAACACAGGCGCGATGTAATACGAGAATGGCTAAAAGTGAAAATCGCCGATACTACGTGCGCATATGCATGTATTATAGTTGCGGGCCGCGACACGCCGGTCTTCAAATTTTTCCAGAGAGTCACCGAGCGAGAGTGAGAATCGGAGAAAATGGCCCCGAGGCCCTTATATACTCGCTCTCTTCGCCTCGGCTATCGCTAAAATTGCCCATTGACTCGTCGCGACGTTGATGTGTCTTTTCCGTTTATGATTTGTTGTTGTTGTTGCTGTGGTGCAGACTAAACAGATTAGCAGCTAAATTGTCCATACGCAACGATGTTCGAGTTGGCACCGCAGCAATATGGATATACATGGCATATATTTGGCGGCCGTTTGGTGTTGGCGAGCGTTAGCGGTACCGGAGCCGAGGCCCGTTATGTATTGGGGCTAGCTGCAGCCTCGACTCTATATACAAACGACGATACACACGGTGGCATCTTCGATTGTTAATAGGGGAATTCGAGGCACACGCGCGAGCACACACATATCTCAATTGGTCCACGCAAAATAAGCCTCGCGCACATTGTAAAGCTGCATTGTGCTGCTGCTGCTGGCCAAACTGCGGCCGATTACGATAAGCCATCGAGGGACGCGCCGAGGCAGGTCGAATCGCAGCGCTACCGTTACTCATGCGCCGCGCTGGTATAAGGTATGTACCAGTGCAGCCAAAGGCAGCGATTTCCTTGTATTATTATAGGGCCCGACGACGACGCGAATAAGCATTTGCAGCGTGGCCCAGTGCGCACGCACAGCAGCAGCGGCTCGTGATACAAGAAGCTCGTGTGTATCGTGGCCATTCCAACGAGACGCTTGTATTGCATCGGATCGTCGAGCTACTCGAGTTACTCGTTAAATTACATTCACGCGACAATGGAGATTCTTTTACGTACTCGTCTAAAATCGGCAAAAAATTATATAAATTCTGCGAACCATTTTGAAAAAATATATGGCCCTGCATCCAACCACACGATTAATCAATCATTCTGGGATTTCTCTCACTAGAATTCCGATGACAACAGGTGTTGTGAATATTGTTTTTTTTACTAATCTTCCTTTTACATGACACTTGAAAGGTAATCAATATGTCCATCTCAACACGACGCTCGAAACTGCAAACTTTAGAAGAGAATTAGCTTCAAAAGTAGCTCTTGCAGCTTTTTCTTTAAACATCGATTCGTTGTGTCTGATAACCTATCTGAACCAAGTAAGGATCAATATCGAAAAAATCGAGTTAGTGAGTATAATTACCAATTCTCGCTCATTTCATACTTCATTTTTGCCCCCGGTATACGGCAATGTTTCGTATCGAGCAATTCGATGTACGCGTCGAAAAGTCGATAACGACGAGGAAAATTATTGTAGCAGCATACAGTACAGAGCCGAGTCGCGCAGTGAAAGCTCACATGCGGCTGCGACACGTAAATGGAAATTCGTTCCAATTTCGACCAAAACACAACGAGTGAAACTATACAATATTGCCGAGCGCGCGTGCTAATGTCTAAGTGCGCGCGCTGTGTCTTTAACGTCTGGCCCAGTCATAAATGCATTTTTCGCGCCAATTATATAGCTCCGCGTGCAGCCGAGGTGGGCCTATAAAATGAGCCGCCGCGCGGTATAAATCGTGCGAACGACGTTGCGATGCTTTTTCGCGCCGACGCTACATACATATATTCCACAAGGAACTTTGTCAAAGGACATATGCTCTCTGCGAATCGGTATTAACGACTGATTGGCACTTGGCAGTCGCATAAATCCGACCCTACATAGCCTGCAGCTACGTATACACGTGTACATGTATGCTTTCCCCGCGCGTAAATTATTTCTCGGAACGAGCTCGCTCGAGCTTCGGCATCGTCTCGATATCGAATCCAAGGCTCCGGCGATTATATCTACGCGCGAATCTGGCCATCTCGTTGTCGGTCCTGTATACACACTGGTCGCCTGTATACGTGCATCTAGTCACGCCATCGGCTGCGCACCTTGAACCAGTCGCGATGCACGGCTATTATATATATCTATACGTAACTTACAGCAGCAGAAGATGCACCGTCCTGACCTGCTGCAGTCGAGATTATACCTCGTACACACAAAAAGTCACACCATTTTGCACATTCACAAACTTTTTATCGACTATTGGTTTAAAAAAAAACGATATTCAATCTATGTACACTTATGCGTTAGAAACAGAATTTCAAATCTCACCGTGATACATTGAATTTAAAATATTATAGGATGTTACTCACTTGTGCATAAACTTATTTGAATTACTATTATGGAAACTCCTTAATATGTAACGAACGAGGCAATCTGAAAAGACTAAATATGTCATCAGCCGGAGAGGAGATTCACATATTGTCAGCAACTCAAAGAAATCCGGATTTCCTCGACTCAACGACTTGTTTCAATGCCAGATTCCATAGTCAAAATTAGGCGAGCTTAAATCACTAAATATAAGTTCACTCATGTTACTGTCCCTATTGAGACAGATTTGAAATAAATTATAGAAAATCTTACGTAAATTACAACATTTTTTCACTTCGAGTTCGAATTTTTTTTTCACCCCACTGACTTTATATACAAAAAGTGATGCTTCAAAACTCGAATGAATGTTATAGTCAACATGAAATTAATAAAGGTTAATTAAATAATTATTAAAACTCATTCTAGTTTAGTTTTTTTGTATTCACGCGTACAAAAAAGAGACACTCAAAAATCATTCAATGCTATATTACAATAAATCATTGTATATTATCAGTAAATATCAACATAAAAACTATGTTCACTATATTTTCACACGTTTTCTGTAGCTCGCATCAGAGCAAATGTCTAAAATGCTAAAAATTGTAAACCTGACGAATCTGGCGTTGCGCTCATGGACGTTCACACCGTCGCATTGGCTTAATTATCTTCAATTATCTGTTCGCATATACGCAGTAGATCCTCGTAACTCATATATTCGGTAATTTTTCGACAAGCAGTATGAGGAAGATTTAATTGACAATGATTAGTCATGAACAGATCGGATACAAATAATTCCAACTCCCGCCTCATTAAAATGTTTCCTATGTGTCTTTTTACTCTTATGTTCATGGTAGTACCCGATATTTGATCCATTGGTGGGATACGCCAATTCTGTATATTTTTCAAAATCGAGTAACCTTCGCTATAGTTCATTTGGCAAAGTTGATAAAGTGAGATATCTTCGGTAACCTTAATTGCATTCATTTTCGCTGCATCTTCCAGCGTGAAACCGTAGCCTATTACAAGAATCGAATCCAATGCGTTATTTCCATGAAAAGGTCTTAATTGTTCCAATTTTTGACGCCAAAAATCATTTGTATTTTGATGGATATAAAAGCCAAATGTCTCAGTAATAGATAGATGGTGACAAAGCGAGGCATAGGAATAGTGATCTAATTAAAAATAAAAATAAATTTCAAAAACTAAATGAAAAATGTTTACATTGGGAAAGTTAAATGACCTACCAAGATCTGAAAGAATATAATCGGCATCGTTTCCTCGAACTCTCATCCAAAGTTTAATCATTCTGAATCTAGCCTGGAAGTCCATTTCGTAGCCAGCCGACTGTAATAATCGAATCGTCTCGATAATCCACAGAGTATAGGGATACCTCAATTCCAACGGGGAAAAATCCCAGCTGAACATCCGATCGTCATTCAAGTTACTTATGCTTGCTCCGCGTTTCAAAAGAGCCTCTACCAGTTCCCGGTCAAACCTGGAGACCGCCAGCTGTAAAGGTGTGTCCCCGTGAGAGTTGCGAGCTTCGAGCTCTGCTCCATCTCCTACGAGCATTTCTACGAGCTTATCGACTGGTCGTTTACGATCGCAGACGTCGAGGCCGTCGTCACAGTCGCATATACGCAGCCGCGCGAGGGCATGAAGTGGAGTCGATCGCTCGTGGTCCGGCTGATTCGGACTGGCTCGGTGTCTCAATAAAATTTCAACCACATTATCGTTCCTGTACTGGGCTGCAATATGCAACGGTGCGTACCTGTATGAGTTGAGATTGACATCCACGCCTTGGCTCAAGAGCATATTCAGCGCAGTCACGTTACCGGACATGCAGGCTCCGTGTAAATACGTGTAACCGTGCTCGTCTTGGTAATTTTGCTCTGCGTTTTCCAAGAAGAATTCCATGAAAGGCAGCATAAGTCTTCGTTGGAGTGGTATGATCGGCAATGCGTCAATGCTAGCTAAATAATGCACAGCAGACTTTCCATCTTCGAATCTAAAGTCATGCATGTTGAAGTTGGACTCTTTTATCATTTTTAAAATCATTAAATTGAAGTCTGTTGAACTGTGGAACTCTGTCAGAGCAAATTTTACAAAATATCTTTTATCTTCGTCACTCGGAAACAGGCTTTGACAATTCATAAGTGTTATAAAAACGTCGCCTCCCCATCGTTGTTCAGCATATCCTCGGCACAATTTTTCACGTCTTTCGTCCATATTGCTGATGCTGTTCAAATAATTTTTAGCAGACTCTGATTCGCAAGAATCTGCAGAAGACTCTTCAGAAGACTCTTCAGAAGACTGTGGAATACTTTCATTGTTTCCATCCCATTCCATTGCTTCGCAATTATCTTCAGAAGGCTCTGGAAAATATTCATCGTTTCCATTTGTTGCCATTTTGAATTGAGTTGTTGACAAAATGAACTTCTGTTACGATAATTTTTGAGTCTAGTACTGGACACTGGTAACTACACGTGAAAAAGAGAAGATGTTGATGATAGCGCTTTTATAGCCTCAATATTGTAATCAAGAGTCCTAACGGATGGAAAGAGGTCGCTACAGAAAAACACCTTTCCTGCCAACCGATTTACAGTTTATTGTCACAAGTTACTACTGATGTTGCTACTGCCTCTGTTTACTTAGAAAGTCAAGATATGTATTGTGGCATGCTAATAAATCGCCGTAACTTGGCTCCCTGTCTCGTCATCGATGTTTACCGATGGGGTGCGAGAGAAATGGAGCTAATGGTGCGCGCGCAGGGTACGTCGTAGGCGCAAAATCAAGCGGCCATGATCTGCTTAGCAGACTCGCGGACATCAACGTACATAAACGTCTCGTGCCGTATAGTCTTGAAGAGATTATGTGTCGATTTTGAAAGTCGACTTTAGCGCAACATAATAATTTAAAATTGGATGCATCTTTTAATCATTGCTAGATAAAATAAAAAATATGAATATAACGTTAACACCTCGTGAACTAATTAAATGATGAACATTATGTAGCGATAAAATAAAATTGAACCATTTCCAAGCCCATTGAACAAATACGGCTTGGCGGATTATTTTTTAGGAGCATTTAATGAATAGTTACACGATATTGTACAAATTTTTAATCAAACAGTTTAAACTACCTCGACAGTTTAGATTTCAAGAAAATTAATATTTCAAATCATATTCGGCACACGAAATTCCAAATTATGTATACTTATTGATCAGATACCAATTTGAATAATAAATTTAAGAAAGGGTAAACTTTTCTACTATGATTGTGACTTCGCGCTCTTTTTCGAGGTAGTAATCCATCTTTGAACTTTTAAAAAGTCGATATTTTTTATTGTATTTTTGAACTGCATATTTTTGAAAATGGACGTGAAATATGTGGTACACTCGGAATCTACTGAACCGATTTTCATGCACCTTGGGTCATTTTACTTATGAGTCTCATCGACAGTTTAAAGATCAATTTCATTCACTCGACTCAAATTTCGTAAGATATTTTTAAAATAATTCATTTTCTCTGACACAAATGGTCAGCTTATAGGTTTCAATCAAGTATCTAAAATAATTTGACATTAGGATACATGCAAATATCATTGATGTTAGTAATGTTCAATGACTTGCTGACTAGATATTCGAATATTATTATGGACGTCAAAACCGGCTATATCAACAGCAGTCGAATTTTCGAAGTCGAGTTGAGTCGCGACACCCCGGTTTCCGAAATCGCAGAGCCTATGCGCGCGGCTTTCACTCAAGTTTGCCGCGAAGAAAGTCGCGCGCGCGCGCGGCCTTTTCGCAACTCGCGCGTAAGTGTACATATAAGTATCCTTGAAAACGGCCTGCACACATCGTTGCCAGCTGCGGCTGCGATCCTAACGTATTAGCCGATCGGCCGATTTTTGCAAGCGCACGAGAGGCATACGTTATTACAAGCATCGATCCGCGTGTCCCGTGAAACTCGCGGCGCATTTTTTCCGCATATCGTTTCTCTTGGAGAGCCGCCTGTGCGAGCTTTTACAAATGTGCACGCGGCAGCCAGTCGGCAGTTCGCTGATTAAGTCAGCGCCTATGCAAACACTCGAATTTTACTCTATTCCTCTCGCAAATCTGCACAGACACACACACACGCGCGCGCATTTAAATATTTAAGCGCATTAGAAATCTGCGCCGAGTCTGCTCGAGAGCTACCGTAGCCGATAAAGTCACGCACCTGTGTCGACTCCGCGGAGTCCGCTGCATAAATCACGCGAACAACCGTTGCAAATGATACTATATTATAAAATTGGAATATGGCGACGAGGGGACGCAGGGATCAGAGATTGAAGTTTGGACGCAATATACGACGAAAATATCACGAGCTGTATCGAGGCATTATTTTATTGCGATCGTACGGGGCGATTCAACGACGCGGGGGGTGCACAATACGCGTGTGTATATTGTGCATCGATCGGTCAATAAAACTGCAAAGTAATTAGTCGAGCTTAAGGAGGACGATCGTCTCCTGGCTAATATGCGAGTATACGTGCTGCACTGCAAGAGAGAGAGAGAGAGAGAGAGAGAGAGAGAGAGAGAAAACAATCGCCAAGGATAATCAGCCGCAAAAGCTGAAAGAGAAAATAAGAGGACGCGGCTGCTGCGGCGGCTTGCCATGGTGGCAAATCACAGCACACACTCTCACGTACACGCACACACACACACAAGTTCGTGGCTTTCTCGCGTGCGCGCAGTTTCCCATATGTATTTATATATCGAGTATTATTATCGCCCGACTGTGCAGCGTGTGCAGTGTTATGTGGGGCTCGTTATATGGGTGGGATCCGCAGCAGAGGACGAGCAGCAGCAGCAGCAGCAGCGGATTATTTCTGCTACGCGAGCAGATATATCGGCGCGCAGGATGAAAATCCCAAACTCCCAAAGGATCTACTTTCGCTTTTTCCGCCGTCGCTGCCTTATTATATAGCGTCTCGAGCAGAAGCGGCAATTGTCGACGTATAGAGGCCCCGCGCGTATGAAGATGAAAAGTCACGATACGACCGCCGCCGCATTGTATTGCGCTTGCGTATATCGCGTCTTATAAAGCGTCTTCTTCATTTTCATATCTAGACGATGTGCGCGCAACTTATAAGACGGACTACCGCAGAAAGATCCCGATTGCGAAAAAGTCGACGATCTGCATCGACGCTCTCGATGAGTATCGTTTTACGTACGTACGTCGTCGTTACAGATGATCTTGTATTGTGTGCACTACGCGCGTCGATTTTCCCATCTAATGCGCCGATTCGATATATAAATTTCTTATCTACATAATGGCCTCGCGCGCGGGGCATAAATTTCAAGAATTTGATTGTTTTCGCGCGCGATCGTGTGCCGATCCCCCCCGTATACCTACACACAAGCAGTGCAACAACAGATCGTGCGCCGCGAGAAAATTGAATCCTCGTCTCTTTCGGCCGATCGCTTTCCTTTTTGTCCGTCGTTGATATTGTGAATTACGCGCAGCGTATGTGGTACACCACGCGAGAGAGCGAGCACACAGGCTCGTAAAGTCGACCTTCGATGCGGCTCGATCCGCTCGCGTGTATCTATATGCACATGCTTTGCCAGGCGCGGATCTGCTGCACCCCGCGGCGAGGCAGGTCAAATAAAGAGAGAGAGAGAGAGAGAAAAAAGTGCAAAATGATCGGTAGCCTCGTCCACTTTTCTCACTCGTTCTCTCTCTCTCTCTCTCTCTCCTCTCTGGTTTGCTCTGCGGGTGATACGATGCATTTATAATAGAGTCCGCCGCGATGGGCATGAAAAAAAAACAAAAAAAAAAAAAAACTGAAGCGAGATAGTAGTTGCGTGCGCAGGACGACTATAACATCGTCTCGAGCTGCGCGCGATATGCATGCTATATATTTCTCTCTATGGAGCAGCGAAAGTTTCTCGTGCTCTCGGCGCATAAAGAGCCACGCACATGTATCCCTCCGAGCGCCGAGTATATAGGGACTATATACCATCGCGCGACTATATAGTCGCAACGCGAGTCGAGAAACTGAAAGTGAACTTGGCTATAAGAGAATTGCGTATAGGCTAATGTCACGCGCCCATTGCAATATAGCCCCCGCAATTCTCCGCTCGGTTGCTGGCTGGCTTGCATACCAGCAGCAGCAACACAGTACCTATACAAATACTTGTACTTGCCAGAGAGCTCGACTTTTCCATTTTCTTCTTTATACGAGCTCGGACTGGCTCTACACGCGGATGTCTCCCAGCAGCAGCAGCAGTCGCATTCGTACCTCGATATGTAAGCTGCCTTTTGTTGTGTATAATGCGAATGCCAATGCGCAACTCGCTTTACGCTCCTTTACTGCAATCTCTGGTATTTCCATTTTACTCAGAAATTCCCGCCGAGTCCGAGCTTATTTTAGCGAGCCTATCTGTGACATATATTTCATACGAGCTTTCTCACATATTCATTATTATTATGGTAGTACAATATTTTTAGTTTTAATTGTAGATACTACTGTACAGGATACCTTAAATCTCGACTGATTTGAAAGGCTCTATGAGCAACACATTTTTCCTCTCACACGATTGAATGAACAAATCTTATTCATACCAATTCAAGAACATAATTTGTAAAACGAGAAACCATAATTAAAACAAACACCACATCAAACGGACTTTGGTCCCGTGTTCACATGTTTTTAGATCTTGTTTGTAAACATCCAAGTAAGTCCTCGAATTGTCTGGCACTAGGAGAAATTACTGCCCCGAATTTCACACCTAACTGCGAGCAAATAATCGTGGATCCGTTGACTTAATCGGCCGCATAACGAGCGAAACTCCACTCGGAGATCGATACCGATCTTTGTTATATGACTCGCGTATATTGCTTCATGTCGGATCGTCGTAAAAGCCCGAGCGATACGCCGCGCACGCCGTGTGCGACTAATTTCGCGCACGGCCCGAGCGCAATTACAGAAATGAACTTTGCGGATCGGCTCGATCGAGACGAGAAAAAAAAGTCCGAAGAGAGAAAGAAAGATCCCATTGTTAATGAGTAGACTATCCTATTGCGCAGTCGTTGTTGGGCCCGCGCTTATTACGAGCCGGGCGCGCACGAGCCAATTAATAAGCTGCAGAGCGAACGACGACGAGGACTCGCGGAGGCGAAAGTTGGCAGATTCCGCGCGTGTGTGTAACGTCTCGTTATATCGCAAAGTTGGCGAACGCTCTTGACAGACGACGATCCGCGAATAATTCGACTTTTCCGGGCGACGGCGGAGTCTCTCCTGGCATCTCCGCGCGATCGCTACCTCGGCTTTCGTCAATTGCGCGCAACGTGTATATAATATATAAATAGCGATTCGATGAAAGTTCGATCGTCGCGCGCAGCTTTTTTTCCCCTCCTGCGTTTAACGAGCTATACACGCGAATTAAATCCTGTTGCATTGTCGACTTTTTCCGAATCGCGCCGTAATTTCTTTTCGTTCGTCAACCGGTCGAATTTATCAAATGCTACCGATCGGCTAGACTGCGTATATAGCTTGAGAAAAATAATAGAAATTGACTATTTTTGCGTTCGGAGGTTGAATTATACCCATTAAAACGGATTCGAACTAGGCGAGACAACGAGTCGAATGAAAGTCTAGTGCTCGAATTTTCGA